CCCAGCCATTCTCCTGTCCCAGCCGTACTCTTTCACTTTTGTTGAGAGTGAAAAGCGGGATTGGGTTGGGGCTCGTTTTGCCTCTGTCCGCTGTTTTACTTTTTCAGCGTGAGATTTTGAAGGTGTGGCGTGATGCCTCACGCTCAATGTGTGAGAGTTGGCAGTGCTGCAAATAGCACAAGTCTGAAGGAGTTCTGCTGTGTTGTGGTAAGCTAATGATAACAGTTAGCTTCAACTAGACGAAACTTGAGTCGTGCGTTCCAGTTGTCCTCGGAACTCGGGATTTCTGAGCAGGAAACTACATAACGGGCTTGTTTTGCGTTCTAGCTTCTAACTCGGAACAAATGGATGCCACCAGTGTTGTTGAGTACTAAACCAAAATAATTATATAACCAAGTATTCCTTGCATCTAAATAATAGTGACACATGCCCTTCGACAGTTGCCATGTACAACCAGAAAAAGCATTACAAACCAAATGTTAAAAAATAAACGCCAGGAAAAGTAAAAACCATAAACACCAGTCAATTTTGGCGGCAGCGTTGAATTTTTCAACAATGTAACTATTAATAACAACAATGAACAACTTACCGGTGCGGTTAAATAGCAAAAAGAAAGAAAACAGAACATATAAACTAGAAAAAATAAAAATGATAACTACTTCTTGGTAGCACTAGACGCAGCCATCTTTAAATTTGCGATCCCTGGGTCCTCTGAAACCTACGAGCTTGCAGCTCAGAATTCTAAGTTCATTGCATAATTTCTGGCTAACTTATCTCAGAAAAATGAGTTTCTAGGACAGCTGGAACGCACCATGAATCAGTGGTTCGCAATCCTGGTCCTGCAGGACGTTTTAGGTTTAACTCTGCTTCAACACACCTTTTTTCAATGAGCAGATGATTAACAGGCTTCTGCAGAACCTGATGAGCTGCTGTTCGAGCAGAGACACCATTAAAACGTGCTGGATACCGACCCTCCAGTACCAGGATTGAGAACCACTCAACCATGATGGCTGAGCCCATGAATGCTAATTTTCAGTGTCACATAGATCTGACACCCATCTGTTTTCTATTGCCGGTCAATGCAGGAAATAGGGGTAGAAGACTTTTTTCATGTTTATCTTGCACATTAAACTCAGAGTGACTGATTGCATTTCAAAAATAAGGAAGTATAAAGTAAACATTGGTTCCTCAATGAATTTACTCTCAAAGCTTGTGGACAGAGTAAAAATTGGACTGACAATAATTTTACTCTGGCCAATGATTAATTCTGGACTGACTTGGTTCTGCACCCTGCTGTTGGTCATTGACGTGGTTATTCACTGCAGGTCTCGAGAAGAGCGAGCCTTTGCAATACTGGTCCCAAGACTGTGGAACAAACTCCCACTAGACATAAAATGTCATCTACTGTCTGGAGTTTTAAAATGAAATTGAATCAATATTACAAATCTAGTTGATTTTATACTTTTGGTTTTATCGTTATTTTTCTGGTAATATTCTTGGAATGTTTTTATTTATTTTTATTGTCTTTAGGCATTATGTGCATTTTGTTTTTATTGTTTTTAGTGTTTTTATGTCTTATGACATGCATATTTTAGTACGGTCTTATTGTTGTCTCTAAAATTAATGTATATGATCTATGATTTTATCATGTGTTGCACTTTGGGCAGCCTTGGCTGGCAGCATTAAGGTGCTTCATATATAAATAAATGAAAAAAAATTAATGAAAGAAATAGAAAGACTGCTTACTGCTGAATGCTCCGGCTGCACTGTTTCCTATTTGTTACTTTATAGTCAAAGGAGCATCTGCTAGCTGCAGGCTATCATTTGTTAGCTCTGAGATCAAACAGAACAGGCCTGAGGTTGGAGAGAGATGCTCTAACACGGATTTAGGTCACAAGACATAGCTACACAGATGTTTACTTCTGTTAGAATCACAAGATCTGTAATATTCCAGCTATTCAGGAGTAATGGAGGTCATCCACCCACCCGCATATAACTGCCTACTCACATCTGTGTCCTCCAGCCCAAACCAACATGCAAACACATAATCACTAAGCAGCTGAGAGCAGCCCGTTCAGATGTGGTAAAAATAGTTTCATGTGATGCCCCGATGTGATATATGTGCTGGCAGTTTTCTGCTACACCGCTGAGAGCAACAAGCTTTAGCAAAATAACACACCTCGCTCCAGAAAGACCAAAAACGAAGAAATCATTTTAATCTGTCACTTTTTTATCTAAACAATAAACACATTTCTACATCTAAGATTTGACCATTTTCCAAGTGGTTAAGATGTTATGAAGTGTAACAAATTCAAACTGGAAGTAAATCTGGCGTTTAGCCAAGGAAAGGAGTCACATGACCTCTGAGATGTAGTCTACCCTTACAGCCAGTCAGAGAAAATGTTGTGAGATGGTTCATGGGCCCTCTGTCTACAATGCTGACATCTCGTCTGTAAAACAGCTGTTTTTGTTCAAGTCCGGTGTGTGAGATCTTTGCATTCCTGTCTGTGACCCAACTGCTTAGGTTGTTTTATTGACGCTCTAAGACAGTGGTGTCCAATCCTGGTCCTCGAGGACTTAAAGAAATTATTACCAGCAGGCTTAATGTTGGCCTGGAAAAGCCAAAGAGCTTACAGTTCAGTTTTACTGAGAACTCAGCTCAGAAAGATCAGGTTTGAAGCAAGAGGCCAGAGATAAACACTCATTTTATCAGAAACGGTTGTTAGCATTAACATATTCACAACAAAATCAGTTTGACGGGAACTGAGAAACACTTAGGTTTCATAGTAGCTGAGAGTCATTTACAGCGCTTTGTTGGGCCGTGTGAAGGCGCTATATAAGTAAGGTTGAACAAGAACGTATAAAATATCCTGATTGTTAACAAATCACACAAGAACTTACAAGAACAACACACCACATGTAAGATTTGACAACTCCATCATGTCCCCATGTTAGTTCTTACTGAAATGCATTGCTGTAAGAAATCCCGGGTCTTTTCTGTGGATAGCACTGTTGTCTTAAGGTCCAGGGTTCAAATCATGCCCCGGGGTCTTTCTGAAGGGAGTTTGCATGTTCTCCCTGTGCACACGGGTTCTATCCGGGTACTCCAGCTTCCTCCCACAGTCCAAAAACATGTCTGTCAGGTTGATTGTTTACTCAAAAGAATTGTGTGTGAGTGCTTGGTTGTTGTCCTGTGTGTCACTGTGCTGCCCTGCGATGGACCGGCAACCTGTCCAGGGTGTACGCCTGCTGGAGATAGGCACCAACCCCCCGCGACCCTGCGTGGATGAGCGGGTACAGAAAAAGGATGGATGGATGTAACTGGTTATGTCCCAAACACATCCAGACCTATCCATTCCAGTCTATAAGTGGTCATAAATAAATGAGCCCAAACACACCTCGAGTGGATTTTGGCTCGTTTAACTGTAATTGCAGGATGAGTCTAGACTGGCAGGAATAAATGGTTGTACCAGACTATCTAAGTCTTGGTCTGATGCAAAGTCTGCACTGCTCTGCCTCCCTCTGCCACTCCAGCTCTGTGGTCTGGGCGGAAGCAGGCTGTTTAGCCCCGTCAGCACAGATGCTCGTGTCCTGTGTTCCTCCCAAGGTGACTTCTCTGTTGTTGGCAGGCAGAGCCTCAATAACAGCTCTCTCACTGCTTCACCCACACACTCATCTCTTAGAAACCATTCAGAGATCTGCTTTATTACCTTATTAAAACAGAAAATACAGATATCAGCGTTTAACTTTCTTCCTTCTTCTGATCTGATTTCCATAATTTTTAGGTGAAAAATCAAAATGCAGACTCAAACAGACACGTTTGTATTTATTAGAACCCTCCTCAGCGCCCTTTGGCCTTGTCTGCAGAGAGATTTGGGCTGTGCCTCAGCACCAACACATGAGGACCTGACCTTTTCCTCTTTCGGTTCTCATGGTGGAGATCGTCCCCCCCCCACACACACACCTTCCACACAATCTCTCACACCAGCAGGGAAATGTACTTTGTGAGCAGCTGTCTGCAAATTTGACTCACTTATTTCAGATTGGAAACAAGAGCTGCATCTTTTCCTTTACCTTCAGTCTGGAGCTTGCAGGTGTGTGACCATAGGAATACTAACTAGGCTGTTGTCCCATGTCTGTAGTAGGTCATCTATTTTGGTCCAGGTTAACTCTCTTCACAGGAGTAGGTGTGCCAGTTTACTCCTGGTGTGTACCCCCCCCCCCCCCCCCCCCCCCCCCCCCCCCGTTAATTGAATAAGAGGATTCATCTGCTGCTGCAGGTTAAGCACAGAGCAAAACCACCAGCATACACTCAGGTGCACGTGAATGCGGCAACTGATCAACACACATTTGCTATTGTCAGGTAAGAGGACATGGCAAAGTTAAACGCATCTCTAGTTTAATCTCCAGCATTGATATGTAGGTGCCTAAAAGTATCCCAACTGTGAAAGGAACCAAAAAGTTCATTTTTACAGCTCTAACTGAGTTTTTCCTTGTTAGAACCTTCAAATATTACTTAATATTATCTCCAAAAGGTCCAACCAAGCCGTGTGCCTTATTTTACTCTATTACAAATAAAGGATGTTAAAGCTAACCTGCTGTTTTCATGCAGCTACAAGCAACAGCCTTTTTCATCATTTACAACCCAGACGTAACAAATAAAAAGCATTATTGTAATACTGGTCTACATGTAAAACATGCATTCAGAGTTTCTTTTATTTAAATAGACTAAATTTCATTAAAGTTTAAAAAAGTTCCAACAAGATAAAATTATGTCCAGAATGACTTTCTCCTCTCTGATAATAAAGTAAAATGCTGATTTGTCTGAATAGCATCAAGAAGACACCAGGGCAGCAGCAGCGTTCGGATGACCTGGATGAACTTCAACACAATTTAGAAAACTATTCGTCACTCCTCCTCTAATAAAAACATAAACATGAGAATGACAGCGCTCACATGCAGCCCACAGATCGTTTCTCTCTGGCCCAGAGGGGTCTTACCTTTGTGACAGTCATGCAGAATCAGCGGCCGAGGAGCAGGCCAACGTCCCCTTCAAGCAAAGAGCAATGCTGCAGGAGTGGTATAGTGATGAAGAGGAGAAGAGGGCAGCTCTGCTGAATATGCAGGAGGAGAGCAGAAAGGAGGAGGGGACAGGCAGGTTAGTGTGTCTGGCTCACTAAGAATGAAGGGGCTGACTCCTGCTGCAGTGAAGTAAAGGCTGGCAGTTGGTTACTACAACAGAGAAAAGCTCCCCGCTAGGACACACCCCTCCTCCCTCGCCAACACACTCACACACCCACACAGAGATGATGCACTAGAAGTCTGGCTGTCCTGCTCTCGCTCTCTGCAATATGATTCGTGATGGGCTGATACAGCTTATTGATGAGCCTTCATCCGGACAGGGCTGCAGGAGGAGAAGGAGGAGGAGGAAGCTGGGCTTCCTGGGACTGGAGAGGACTGCAGAAACAGGGGGAGGGAGAGGATTGGGGAGAGGGTTGGATGATGTCGCAGTCTGCTACTCAGGCACGGAGATGGCTGCACAGCATCTGGTGTGAACGAATGTGTTTGTGTGTGAAAGAGAGAGAAAGACACAGAAAGAGAGAGAGAGAGAGAGAGAGAGAGAGAGAGAGAGAGAGAGAGAGAGAGAGAGACATTAGAAGAAAATATTAAATTCATTTGGCATTTTTGTAACAAATCCAGTCTGCAGTAACTTCCGACACAAACACATTTTTAAGTTATTTAAAGACGTTTGTTTAAAGTTCATATTAGATATAGCAAAAATGTCATTTATAGTTTAAATGAACCCAATCCGTAACTACGGATACATTATTAAAGACTTGTTTAAATGTGGAAAGGTGGCTTTTAAAGTATTTTTCATATAAACTGAGATTTTCTTGTAAAAGGAACAAATTTAACCGTTTTGTTTTCCTCAACTTTGCAATATTTACACTCCCTCCCTCTCAAGCTAACAGTCCTACCAAGTGTGCCATCATGCAGTATGCTTTTGTACAAAATGAGTCCTTTAAACTTGAAGATGAAGCTTGCGATTAGTTCTGTTCTGCTTTCAGTTTCATTTTAGATCTTTGAGAAGTTTTCTTATCCAGGTGAGGACATACATGTTGCATTTATGCACAGAAGCCCCCCCTCCACACGCTCGTGGAGTAAAACATTTGCTCTAGACGTTGAAAAAAAAACATTAGGGACATGCCGACATTCCAGCTCTGTTTCTATGGTCCATCTTCCCACAGTTGGGATCGCGCTTTCAACCCACAGCACTGCTTTTGTTTTGTGCATTTTATAAATATACTTATGTTTTATGACCTTAAGCTAACCCCATTCTGACATATTTAATGTAACGTCCAGCAATGGTCAGTTTTTAAGTACAGTTTGACCCTTCAACATCTGGTCAAAATGGAGACACGAGACTGCACGTGTTCCCTTTAATCTGCCTGCCTTCATCCCATCAGCTGGAGCTCAGAGCCTCTCTGCAGCTCTGAACACATGATAACGTGTTGTCAACAATGATGTTCTCTCCTCAAGGCCCAAGCTTCCCTTATCGTCCTACAAGATTCTTCATGCCTCTAAAATAAGGAACACTCGCAGCTCGGATTAGTTGCTAAATCAAAGAATGATTTCTTAAATTAAATATGAACTTTTAAACTTATAAGTTAAATAATCATTAAATAAACGTTTGTTTATTGCTACTTATAATAATTATAATATAATGAAATGCTTTAATTAATCTGTGCTTGAGTGATTGAAGTTTGAAATGAATGTTATGTTATGGTTACATTGGTTGAAATATGTTTCAGCATGTTGATATGACAAGGTCATCAGCACTTGCACTCACACAAGGACAAAGTAAAGTTAGGTTAAGCGCGTGACACGTAGCTAGTCCTTTACCCCAGATCAGAGCATCCAGCATCAAGGAAGGCGTGTTTCAGAGGTTGTCTTGATAATATTCCGCAACTTTTCAACCTCTGGTTGGCTACACAAGTCATAACACAAGAACATTAAAACCGGATCACTCTGGTAGTTCATCAGTTCTTGAGAAAAGCTTCAGACCGGCCATCTGAAGCAAAACCTCTCTAACCCATCAAAGCTTTTGACACGTTGTCAAAATCTTTTTGCACCTGCGAAGCTTATACAGCAAACGGTTCCTGCAGAACAAACTGATATTGTTTAGACTCCTTAAGAGTCCCAGATGCGCAGTTCCATCCATCTGTCGTGACCCGAGACATCTCTGGACTGAAGCGTCGGTGCTACTGTATTCTACAGCCCTCTGTGCCAGAGGTCATCCGACATCTCTGTCCTTTGGATCCATGAAGAGGGTCTCCGAGAACGGGTGAAGTAGACACACAGATAGCGTCTGATGCCTTTTGATAATAATCAACTTCATAGCTTAACGCAAACCAAATTCTTTTACACCCAGAACTCAGTTCTCCTAGATCCGGAAGTTCTGATAACATCACATTCACACATAGGCACTACACCTTCTCCATCTAGATTCATCCACTCACAGTAAATGTTAGTGAACTTGTCAAGTTTTAATTGTTTGTAAAATTAATTCTTACTTTTATAAATCTGACTCTTTTCTGAATCAAAACGAAGTGTGTACAATCCCTGAATAAAACAAAGAATCCTAGAATCTTCTGATTAAACACAGTAAAGACCAAGCAGGTTGATATTCTACATTTATATAGAGTATCACAGCTTATTGGCCATAAGTAGAGGTACTATACATTGAGCTTTTAAAGCACTCAATTTCTCAAACCCTACATTAAAAATACGTTTATTCCATTTTTTTCCAGTTTTCTTTCCAATGACAGTCACTCCAATTGTCATTTGGTGGTCACGTTCCTCATCCTCACTGCCATCTGAAGTTCTAGCCTCAGTATTTCCTGCCTGGAACAATAGCATTTCCTGTGTCTGTCTGCATGTTTTGAGTTGGAGTTGAGGGCCTTTATAATGCACAAGAAACTATCTGGTACTTAAAAATGAAGTCAAATGAACAATCCATTATGGCATTATGGAGGCTTAATGTTTTGTGAGCTAAAACAATGTGATTTTTAATCTTAAGCAGCTTTTTTCATCATTTGGCAGAAAAAGTTAGACATTTTAGACCATTTAAATTAACAAAAGAAAAGTTGAGTCATCTACAAACCACGTGGCATTAGAGTGTGTGGTGTGAAATGCATACACCATACAATGGCACTTATTTACACACAACTCTTGATAATATCAGAAAACCACGTCTGTGGTTTTTTTTCCAGCTCGCATCATTTAAAAGATGTGGAAGGAAAATGTCTCATCTGCATGATTGAAATGGAACATTTTGGGCACCTGCAGACGTGAGTGTCGCACGTTCCACCAGATGTCTCACTGACTATGTTAAAAAAGGTAGGAGGAGAGAAAACTATGGAATACATGAAAATAAATGCAGAATTGAGTCAGAATCAATACTTTTATAGAAAAAAAACATTACTCTTTTCCGTTTAATCTAACCCCACCATGTCTGTTTTGCATTCCAAATTTAATGTACTTTTTTACTGTTGTGGCTCTATGGGCTCCATCAAGTGTAGCAGTTTGCTGCCATCTTGTGGTAAAATTACATAAATACTGTTTGGTTTTTATTGTTGGACAACAGGAGGGGTTCTTGTTATTTATTTATCCAATCAAAAATTCTAAAGTAACGAGAGAAAAAAAAATGAGTGCAGCCAAAGGTCTGCAAGGACAACACATAAAACCAAATTATTATCATTACAGGGTTTACTTCAGTGGAAAACCAAAAACATATTTTATGATATTTAGAAACATTTAACAAGTACACATTTAATTAATTTCTAAATTTAAAAAGAGACTTTGTGAGGCTGAAGCAGGGTAGGGAAAGGTCAGATTGTACTCACCCTCAGTTACAGTAGTCCAGCCATTTCCAGTCCCCAGCCTCTTAGTTTTATTTTCAGTTTTAATTCCTCTTTAGTTTTCCCTTAATTTTGTGTAGTTTTTGTATCATCAGTTATCCTTATTTATCTCATTTTCCTCCCTGGTTTCCTGCATTTGTTTTATTCAGTTCTCCAGCTCTTTAGCTTCTCAGTTATTTCTCTTGTTGTATCTGTTCCCCCGTCCCTATACCCTTGCTCCCTAGCACCTGGTGTTATCCTGTTATTTTTTCAGTTTAGATTGTCATCATTTTTATTATTTTCAAAAACTCTTGTTATCCTGAATAGTTATTTGGATCTGTTATCCTAGCTCCAATTGAAGGTTGCAAGTGTGGAAGTGCGAGTTTTGGGATTGGGCCTGAGAGTTCTCTGTGGAGCCAGGAAGTGGACATGGAGGTGGAGATGGGTCTGCTGGAGGGTTGCTCTGCAATCAGTTGGGTGGTCCTGGAGTTGTGGCAGGCCTCCTCGGATGAGGGGGTTACTGGGAGAGTTTTTTTGGGCTACAACGTTGTGTGGATGAGCGCAGGTCTGCTTTTGTTTGTGAGAGGAGAGACTCTGTGGCATTGACGCTCTTGTGGTTGGGCCATAGAGGCCTTCGAGGTGGATTGTTTTTGGTGGGTAAGCACCCGAATGGGTCTTATGATTGTGGGGAACTGGAGATGGTGGGTGACACCTTTCTGCGTTTTCATAACCAGGACCTCCAGTGGGAGCCCACCATCACCTCCGTCATAAAAAAGGCCCAGCAGAGGATCCACTTCCTGAGGGAGCTGAAGAAATTCAACCCATCAGTACAGCTGATGAGGCGGTTCTACACCACAATCATCAAGTCCATCCTCACCTCTCCAATCACCATGTGGTATGCTGGAGCCACCATCAGGGACAAGAAAAACTGTAGTGTGTTGTGCGCTCTGCTGAGAAGGTCATTGGCTGTAAACTCCCCTCCATACAGGACCTGTACACCTCCAGGACATTGAGGCGTGCTGGTTTGATCACAGCAGACTCGTGTCACCCTGGACACAATCTTTTTGACTCGCTCTAATCTGGCAGGAAGCTCAAATACATTCGAACCAGAACCTCTCAGCACAAGAACAATTTCTTCCCCTCTGCGGTTGGACTCATGAGCAACAATCGTAGACCTGCCTACTCCAGCTGCTTTGTTTCAGTCACATGACCCTAGTGTTGTGTTTGCACCTGAACTGACCCGCTCTGACCAGTACCTACACTGACTTGTATGTAGTCGCTGCTTCTCTAATTATTGATTCCCTATATTATTGTCATTTCATTGCTTATTTCTTAATTCTAATTGTTGCTTATCATTTATTTTTTCTTATATCAGCTATTTCCTAATGCTGTGATACTCACACATGTGGCAATAAAACCCTTCTGATTCTGAAAAATGTAGTTGAACAGAGGTTCTGTTTGGTTTCTTAGAGGCTACGGGTGTGATTGTGTTTTGTCTGCAGACTTTGTTGGGGTTGGAGAGATATAATTTTATTTACTGATAAAAATGAAGCAGACTTCTTGCATGATCTAAAGATCAATCACAGCTTGCCCTGTTTCTCCAAATAATTCCACGATTAACATCCAAACACACAGAGGACACAACTAAAGTTCAGAGAGTTGAAATGGCTGAACATCTTTTAACGTGTGTCTGAGGCCTTCCCTGGAGCTAGCCGCTAGCGCTAGCTCTGACGCTCATGCTACCTGTCAATAACATCTAATTACTTATAATTTCAAGCATCTAATTGCACCTATAAAGAAGAATTACAAAAAAAAATCACCCCCTCAGAGTTGTCATGACTGTAAACTAGATCTATTAAATCTGTAATGTTTTGATTTTTTTAAACATGCTGTAAACATGTTTATTTCTGCTGTGAAGTTGACATTTTTAACATGGGAGTCAATGAGGATTTGCTCACTTCTGGTGCCAGCCCTCTAGAGGGTGAGGGTGGAACTGCAATTAGTGTCACCAGTGTTTGCTTCAGTTCTAGGGTTGTCGGGTCCCCCCTTAATCTGTACGTTTTTAATCAGCCCGTCATTGGACTTCAGTTTTAACATATTTTTGTCTTGCTTAACAGAATAAATGCTGTGATTTTTTTTTACCTCATTTAATAACTTATGAATTAAGCTACACTTTTAATAACGACTTTATTTAAGAACGCATGATAAACAAGAATACAGATTTTATTGTTATAATTTTAGTGAAAGTAATATTTTTTGCATTTTAATTTGTAATTCAGACATTTATTGTAGACGTTTGATGGTAGGAACTACTAAAACGTAATTAGATTCTGCTGGTACACCTAAAGGTTGGTTTATGCTTGACGCGTCCGCGAGGTCCGCACGGCTCCGCGCGGAAAAGTTGCATCATTTTGCGTCATTTTAACAACCACGCCCCTCCACCGCGTCTCCGCACGGCCCAAGATTTCCGCAACGCGCACCTCAGAAAATTTCTAACCACGCGGACGGTCAGACGCGGAAAAACATGGCGGACCGGCAAGAAATAGTATGGCAGAGGTTCGTAAATACAAACATTTGTATGCTTCAGCTCTCAGAGATCACCGTGATCAACATGTTGTTAATAATTCTTGGAGACAAAGCTCGCACTGTCGGAAAAGACGAGGACGCTGTTAAAAATGCTGAAATGCCATGTTGTAAACAGTAATTTCTACTTCTACTATGGTGTAGTGTTGGATGCATGCTGTAGAGCTCCATGCTGCCCCGTTCAGTTTCGGAGAATATTGACTCACCGCAGAGACGAGCCGCACAAAGCATAAACGCTGCGAGTTGTGAAGCGCGTTCCATCCGCGAGCCGCATCACCGCGCGGAAAGTGAATGCGTCAAGCATAAACCAAGCTTTAGAGTGATGCAGCAAGCCATGTATTTGTTTGTTTGTTTTTTTCCCGTGTCCTGTCTGGCTGTGAAGCAAACAGAATTAATGTCTGAATGCTGGTGACAAGCCTTACAGATTCACTCTCAGGTGGAGCATCAAAGCTTCTGCTTTTAATGTCATGCCTGATACTTAAAACTTTATTGTTATTGTTTTTTGAATGCTTGTAATTCCGACCAGACACAGAGACAGAGGTGAAAGAGAAAGGAAGTGCCGCAAGCCTTGTTAAAGGATACAGGAAATTTAAAAGTGCACAGAAGTACCTGTAAAGTTTTCTTTTCTACCTCTAAGCATGGGTCAGCCAGCAAGGTATGTTTTATGTGTTCTGTTAACGTCATTTTATATATCGTTCCTGTTTTATTATTGAATTTATGTTGTATATTTGTTCGACAGGGCTGCACAGTAGGCAGTGGTTAGAGCTGTTGCCTTGCAGCGAGAAGGTCCTGGGTTCGATTCCCGGCCTGGGATCTTTCTGCATGGAGTCTGCATGTTCTCCCTGTGCATGTGTGGGTTCTATCCAGGTTCTCCGGCTTCCTCCCACAGTCCAAAAAAATGACTGTTAGGTTGAATGGTCTGTCTAAATCGTCCTTAGGTGTGAGTGTGTGTGTGATTGTTTGTCCTGTGTGTCTCTGTGTTGTCCTGCGGTGGACTGGCTCTCTGTCCAGGGTGTACCCCGTCTAATTGCCCATTGACTTCTGAAGATAGGCACCAGCCGCCCCCCCCCCCCCCCCCCCCACCCACCCACCCCCCGCCCCCGGACCTTGCACGGACAGAGCGGGTTCAGAAGATGGATGGATATTTGTTCGATGGTGGCCCAGTATTTTGATGAAGGTAATTCTGTAAGAATACCAACTTCAAGATTGTTTGATTCATAATAAAAATAAAACATGCCATCAATAAAAATAACTCTTTATAGATGTGTAAGAAGTGGAAGTGAAAACAAAAATCTGGTTTACTGCTTCTTCTAAGGTAGGTTAAAATAGACCATGTGTACTTTTACCTTTGATTTATGGAAATGTCCATCAAAATGGTGTTGAAAATGAATGAAATGATGCCCAGTTTTAGAAAAACATTTGCGACTACATTACACATTACCATAGAAATCAGGTCTAAAATACATGGGAGCAGGTCTAAGTCTCTGGGCGACGCCATATTAGACGCTGTGGCTGTGTCCGAATCCAGAGGAAGGATGCTTGTGAGTGCGCATTTTGAGGTCGATGACGTCAAAGCGCAGCGACGAGTACTGTCCGAATTCCAAGAATACTCATTCTCGCGTCCTCCAACGCGTCCTCGCTCCACCCACATTTCGAGGATGGGTCTGATGGATCCTCACAGGAGCAAGGGTATCCCAGCATGCTTTGCGCGCCGGCCGCTGGACTCGACACTCACAACAACGGCGGACGGAGCGGGACAGCAGTACAGCTTAAAATGTAAGTTAGTTAAAAAAATAGCGGTCAAAAAAATAAAATACGTCTTAGGTGTGTTCTTACTGTGTCGTTGTTCTAATTCCATGCTTTCGTTGTTTTTTAAACACAGAAACAGTTTTGTTTACCTGTTTTGTAGCTACAGTTTACACGCTGGACCACGCATGGGACTGCATCGTCGGAGAGGGGAGAGCGGGCAGTAGAGGGCGACAACGTCCTCTGCTGCCCGCAGATAAACGGAGAAGGAAGTGACGCACCACCATCAGCGTCAGCCTGAAGAAGCCGGCAGCCGTCGGCGAAACTGTAGCTACAAAACAGGTAAACAAAACTGTTTCTGTGTTTAAAAAAGAACGAAAGCATGGAATAAAATACGTGTTTGGGCACTTTTGGTTTGTTTTTTATATAAGATCTAATACCGCAAATTGTTTTTTTTTTTCATGTAATTTAAGGCTAAAACATGCCCCACCGAAAACCAGCTTGAATGTTTAATAGGAAAAAAAACACCGTAAACTAGCTTGATCCCAGCAGGCTTTTTAAAAGAAAATAGCGGTAGAAAACTAAGCTGAAAGTGGTTCTGTTTATAGACATTTGTCGTTTGCATAAGTACATTTTAAGCAGAAATCAGCGAGACCAAGCTTGTATGGTGGTCTCGTCATAATTCCCGTGTGTGTGTGTTTATTTAGCGAATAAAGCTTCTCATCATTTGTTTTAAGGTTAACACCCCACCGTAAACTTGCTTGAAAGTCTAATAGGAAAAAACTCACCGTAAAAGAGCTTGCATCTCATGTAATCATGTAACGAACGCCAAAAATAACGAAAACTAAGTTTAATGTTTATTTAAGTTAATTTTTAAGAAACCACATTACTGATTTAATGTTTTTAATTTCATTTTAGGCAGAAAAAAACACAGAACACAATTTTCATCTCCCATGTTGATAAATTAAAATATTGTTTATTGCATGTTTTATCAACTATGATTTATAATCTGACTTTGTTCTTCTATTCCTCTCCATTCTCATCCAGAACCAGTACCGTTAAGGAGCATCTGTAATTTCATTATGCCCACAGTGTTCTCTGTTGTTAAATGACAATAAAGCCTTGTAATTCTAATTCCCTTTGTCTGTAGGACTGCAAGTATCCAGGGTCAGGAGAGGGAGTCAGCGGAAAGCCCACTGCTGAAACCTGGCCCTGGTTTGTCCCCATGGACGAGGTGTTGGGACAGAGGCCTTCCACTATGCCTCCTGTCCTTATTGCTTCCATTCCCGAGGACACTCCAGGGCCAAGTGCAGCAGTGGGTGAGACAGAGGACAGGGAGAGTGGTGGAAGGAAGCCGGAGTCCTCATCAGGGAGAAAAAGGAGAAGGGCTGATGAGCTCCTTGACCTGATCAGGGAGGACATGTGACAACAGAGGGAAGCGGAGGAGAGGAGAGAAAGAAGGATGGACAGATTTTTAGCATTGATGGAAAGGATGGCAGAGAAATGGGTTTTTTTTTCTTTTAGTTTCTTCTGGTTCAGGTTCTTTATATGTGTTTGAATGTTTTTGTTATTTGTTTAAATGTAATAAAATTTTTATTAATTGATAACATTTTTTTGATCATTAACAGTTTTATTATTCAGTTTTTAACAAGTAACAACATAGTAAATAAATGGTAAGGGAACACTGTAAGGAATAAAAGTAAAGATAAAAGTAAAATATATACAGTAAACTTGGAAAGCAGGGAGTCTTTGGTGGTGTTGCTAAATCTACTGAACATGGATCATCGAGGTGGATGGAGTGCAGGAACCGAGATCCGTGGCTGAACGTTTCGGGTTGGCAAGTGGAACATCAGACAGAGTGGTCTGCAGAGGGTGCTTCTGGATGCGTCATCTCACTGACCACTGCATCGTCCATCAAAAGGGTTTGCTGGGCTGGCTCAATCGACGGCTGTCACATCACTAACATTCAGATATATGCAAAAAAGGAGATCATGAGTATAATACTTGTAACTCTAGCAGATAACAGGACTAAATGATTTTTAAACTAGAGATTCCTACGTAAATTACTTGCCTGTTAACAGTAATTGTGATCTGGTGGTACTTCCTCCAGAGGAGACACCTCAGCAGAAAGTTGGTACCGCCAGAGGGCACCACTGACTGCCTCCAAACCAGCCTCCCCCTCATCTTCTGGAGCATCATCCTCCAGTTCATCGTCCTGCACCACAATGTCACCAGCACTGAGGCAGATGTTGTGCAGGATGGTGCATGCTGTGATGACCTGTAATAGAGATAAAAATTTAATTTATATTTCATTCCCAAACAAAAATTACACCCAAAGTTTATTTCCACTTTGTGTTAACTTACATGAGGTACAAAGGTGTGGTGGACCTCCAGCGCTTTCAGGAAGATGGTCCTGAACCTGGTCTTCATCATTCCAAAAGCACGCTCGATGATGCAGCGTGCCCTGGAATGATGGCTGTTGAAGCGCTGGGCTCCCACACCTTGAACCACCCGTTTGTAGGGGGTGATGAGGGGGAGTGGATGTTGGAGGCATGGGTACCCTCCATCTGCGAGGATGAAGTGCCCTGGAGGAGGATAGGCTGACTGCCTGTACAGTGGGCTGTGCCGGAGGACCCTGGAGTCGTGGGCCGACCCAGGCCAGCCCACATAGGTGTCGATAAAGCGGCCCTGATGGTCACAAACTGCCTGCAGGATGATAGATGGGAACAGTTTCCTGTTTCTGTAGCACTGACCATCAGGACTGCTCGGAGCCTTGATCCGAATGTGACAGCCGTCGATCGCACCTGCTGCTTTCATGAAAGCTCTGTGTCGAGCCAGCCCAGCAAACCCACGAGACACAACCTCCATCTCCTCTGGGGTTTTGGGGAGGTGAATGACCTGGTGGAGGATTACGACCATGTCGTGACTCGATGGACGATGTCGTGGACAGTTGAGCGAGGCATCCCAAATACTCTTGAGACCACCCTGTAGGATGTTCCAATTGCCAACCAGAACAGAAACACCAGGGTCTCGATTGTGGCACCCCAACCATGTCGCCGATCTTGGTTCAGGAGATTTAGCAACACCACAAAAGACTCCCTGCTCAGACGAAAATCTGGCCTGGGATCTTCCTGGTTAAAAAACCGGTCCAGGACTGGCACACTCATGTTTATCCTACAGTACAGGGGTCTGTTCTGTTAAAAGAAAAGTAGAGAACAATAAAACAATTAAAATAAAACCTGTATAAATGCTTGAGATTTTTAGAAGAGTTCTAGGCATTATTAGGCATAAGTTGAAAAGGACAATACACATTAAACACATTGTAATGCTACTTTTACTATGAACTATATGCACAGAACCAAGCATTATGATGAAATACAAACTTCTAAAATGTCATTCCATTAATTATTTTAGATGAATATAGGTTAAATTAACTATATGCATGTTAGTCAACTCTATACTAATGTGTATATTCAGCCACATGGCTTTCTGTTGCTTAAAATATAAATGAAACTAACACTAAAGTTAACATGTAATGCCTGAAAGCTGGTTCACTAAACAAAAAATAATTTTACCTGGATATGGCTGCTTCTCAGCCTTAAATACAAAGGCCGGTGACGTTTACTAAGCAGTCGCAGCTCCTCAAAAACCAAAAATAAAAGGGAATACTGCTGTGGATCCATTTTCACCTCTGACTAGCTTGTTAGCTTGTTAGCCTGTTTGCCGCCGTCACGGTAGCTAAGCAACTGGACCTGGGGGCGGGAATAAAAACGAGGCTAGTACTGTCCGAATTCAGAGCCGCTGACTTCCGGTTTTAGCGGTCTAGCAGGGACCCGGCCTTGCTAGACCGGCGAGGACCCGTACTCACAAGCATCCTACCTCTGGATTCGGACACAGCCTGTGTTTCCCTCTCCCCAGGGCTTTTTGACCCTAATGGGCATCCATTGGTAATGTCTTACTCCAACACAAAAATACTGCTTGCTTTCAACGATTTAGGTATCTACTGCCCCCTATTGCCAGGAAAAATACACACTGTCACTTTAAAAGAAAAAATAATGAAAATGTTGCGTGAAGTTCCCTTGTGGGGGCTCAGCAGTTTTAGGCCTGTGCTGAAATTCATTTAGCATGCTTTGAAACCCCTGTTTAAGCTATACAAACTAATGTGCTCCTGTAAGAAGAAGAAGAAGAAAATATCATCTCTATAGCGCCTCTCAAGATAAAAATTACGAGGCGCTTCACAAAAACAAAAAATGTAAAAATATAAAAAAGCATTTAGAAAGTGTTTAAAAATATATTTAATATGAGCAAAAATAGACAATTGTGATTAAAAATGTTAAGAAAGAGAGAGAGAATAGGAAAGAGGGAAATCAGTGGATCCTGAGGAAGGTGGAATAGGTGGGGAGAGCAGAACAAAGAGAGAGTGGTGGAGAAGGTCATGCAAAAGCCAGCTTGAACAAGTGAATCTTCAGCTGCTTTTTGAAGGAGATCACTGAGTCCACTGATCTCAGGCTCAGGTGCAGAGAGTTCCAGAGTCTGGGGGCCACAGCAGCAAATGATCTGTCACCTTTGGTCTTTAGCCTGGTGCGTTGCACAACCAGTAGGCTTTGATCACTGGACCTCAGGGACCTGCTGAGGGTGTAGGGACTAAGAAGATCACCAAATTAAGATGGTGCTGGTCCATGTAAGGCCCTATAGACCAGAACCAGGATCTTGAAATGAACCCTGAAGTTGACTGGCAGCCAGTGAAGCTGGAGAAGAAGCGGGGTGATGCGGGTGTGTTTGGAGGACTTGGTCAGAAGTCGAGCACAGGCATTCTGAACCACCTGTAGACGGTTCAGGGAGGTTTTGCTCAGACACGTGAAAATAGAGTTACAGTAGTCTAAGCGTGAGGACATGAAGGTGTGGATAACAGTCTCAAGTTCAAAGCGGGACAGAATGGGACTCAGCTTAGCAATGTTCCTGAGATGGAAGAAGGAAGAGCAAACAAGAGAACTGACATGAGAATCCAGGGTGAGAGCTGGGTCAAAGATCACGCCAAGATTTCTGACGGAAGGTTTGGTGTGAGTAGCAAGCTGACCAAGAGTTTCTGACTTTGGGAACCAGCTTGTCTGGGGCACAGATGAGGATCTCAGTCTTATCTTCAGCTGAAGAAAGCTCCCAGCCATCCAGGTTTTGATAGAGCAGGTGTGTAACAGCTGCAGCTTAGACATCTCATGGGGCTTAAAGGAGATGTACAGTTGGATGTCATCTGCATAAAGATGGTAGGAGATTCCTTCGAAGGAGCTCAGGATGTGCTGAAGAGGAATCAGATAGAGGAGGAAGAGCAGAGGCCCCAGCACAGAACCTTGTGGGACACCATGGGTAAGGGAGGTGGTGGAGGACCTAAACTTGGAGACAGCCACATAAAAGGAGCGCTCAGAGAGATAAGAGGAGAACCACTCCAGAGCAGATCCTGATAGGCCTACGTTTTAGCCTCTCCAGTAGCAGGTGATGGTCAACAGTGTCAAAGGCTGCAGTCAGGTCGAGCAGGACCAGAACAGAACAGTCCCCTGCATCACTGTGATTCAGAAGGTCATTAGAGACCTTAAGAAGAGCGGTTTCAGTAGAATGAGCTCTACGAAAACCTGACTAGAAGTTATTATAGATGTTCTGTTCATCAAGAAGACCACACACTCTCTAAAATACTCGTGTGTAGTCATTATTGACAGCAAAGTGAAACTTTCCACCCAGCATCTCATAAACTTTCTCTTCCTTCTTACAAAAACAAACCGTTTCACTGCCATTAGCTTAAATTTGATCCATCAAAACCATTCATGTCAGGGGATTTATATGCTTTTACACGATCCACACTCTTTAAACCAAGTCCTTCAATGTCTCGACAGTGCTGTGTTTCTGTAAGAGGATCACTGCACATGAGATTTAACTAATTACTTTGTTTCTGTTTGATTGTTTTGACAACAGAGAAAAATGTAGGATGCCAGAGTAAAAAGAGGAAAAATGCATGAAATGTGTGTTGACAAGGGGTTGTCCACTTCCACACAATGTATGGGGAACCTGCACTTCCCCTATGACACCAGCCCATCATGTGATTTCCCCTCACAGAAATTGTTGCACTAGTGGAACTTTTAATACAGGGGGGCTCAAATTTCAGCTTCCCTGGTGCACAGCTAGCCGTAGTCGGCACAAAACCGCTTCCTGTGTCAGAGAAAAGGTGAAAAAAAGAGAGAACAAAAACTTGAAAAGAACAGAACAGAACAGAGTACAGGGGAAGAAAAAAAGTATATCCTCGCAAATATGCTGATAATGGCTGAGAGAGAAGTGGAAATGAGGGTCATTGTGGTTCAGATCAGGCCTTGTGGGGCTTTTAAACGACTCACAAACTCCAGATTCATCAAAAGTGTATTTTTCTATGTTGCTGATGCATTACACAGCCATGGGTAAACATTTCCACCACTGCTTCACTCAACACAAACCTATCACTCCAGTCTCAGGCAGTCTCCTTAACTCACTTTCCACTGGTTTTTATTTCATCCAAGTCTCCTCTCCAAATACGTTTTACTTCCCAGAGCCTCTCATTTTATATATTTTTTCACATGCCAGTCAGTCCAGCCTTGGCCCCAGTCGTTCTCTCACCTTGATTCAAAGACAGTGTCAATAAGTGATGCTTTTATATTTCTGCTGTTGATTTTAACATTACATTATCTCTTCTCCCACAGTCTAGTTGCCTCTGGTAATCCTGTGGTTGAGACCATTGGATTTATGAATAGTAGATGATGAAAAGAGAGAGAAATCCATCATTCAGGAGTTGTTTCCATTTGCAGAAAGACCCAAATAAGTAACCTGATGTATTTAATATTTATTTATTTTATTCTTTCTCTGTGTCATTGTGTCTCACATTCACCACACACAGTCTGGAAAACAATACATTCGGTGACAGCAGCACAAAGGCCTGACATGTTGTAGCAGTTAAATCAGGCCTTTGCAATCTAGGAGACTTAAAATAAATCAATAAAAGCTGGAAACAGCATATATTATTCCAAAATGACAGTCAAAGCACATTTTACCCCATATACTTGATCATATCCTGACAGAAATGTTCATGTGTTTAAATGACAAGAAAAGGACAATAGTCATTATTATTTACAATTGCCAACAAACTAAATGTTTAGGTCTCAAAGTTCAGAAAGCAAGAAAGGGAAAAAAAGTGCAAAGAGAAATTACTATTCCTTCAAGATTGTTCACTTAACTGTTCCAGTGAGTGTGTTGGCAGACTTTGTGGATTGTAATATTCCTTTGGTCATTTCTGTTCCCACCAAGAATGTGAAGCACATTTTATTTTCATTTGAATACCATTTAGTGCCAAGACTAGGATTACCACACTGGACCTTGACAAGCTTCTGACTTGGCTATTTAAACCTGAGGATTTGCTCTGCCGTGCAACACTGAGCAGGATGTAAATGGAGTATGTTGGGTATGACCATCAACATATACATATATGGACAGTGGGTTTCCATAGACTCCAATAACATGTTTTTGAAGAAAAATGGGAGGTGGCCACCACCGCCATTCTGACCGTGTCACAGGTTCCGTCAAGCCCAGACAATTCCACAAAAGGGAAGAGAGGTGGAGCTGAGGGTGGGGCTGTAAGGCTGGGATCAACTGACAATACCTGGTCGAACTAGCTACAAGCTAACCTGAAGCTAACCCAAAGCTAACGTGGAGGTGGGAGCTAAGCTAATGGAGGTAGCAACCTAGCTACAACCGGAGTTAACTGTGCACAACACAAGAGCTTCTGAGTCAGAGATACGCCGGGCTGACCACTGGGTAAAACCGGGTGGAACACAGAGGTCTCCCGAGAGCTCCACAAGTTGGCAGCCGCACAGCAGACAAGCACCGCTGCGATCTGAGATGCGCAGAGCTGCCGCTGGGGAGAACCAGTGTCTGTACAGGATCTGCTCGGGTGCAAGATCGGCTCGGGGTCCTTTGACTGCCGATGACGTCAAAGTACGGCAAACCCACTCGGACAAAATACACTACACATCTTTATACTGTTGGAAAGAATTTAACAGTTTCGTTATTAAAATAATGTTTCTTACGATGTAAGTTTGTGTTTATAATGGTATTTGTAAAATAAAACACTATATTGTATCCATAATGTTGAACTCCTCTTTGAGCACATCTCTTGAAGGATCAGGTATTAGCAACACCTGTGAAATTGTATTTGCAGGAAAGAATTGTGTCCCATTTATTGAAGTATTTTGTGTTTAGAGTTTTTGACGTCTTGTCCATGCGTAGTTCAGTTACGCTCATAGCTGCTAGCCAAAACTCTGGAGTTAAAAGTTTTCTGGCTTTACTAAAATAACTGTCTGTGCTTATTTGATTGATGGTAGTTTTACTTTCTGTTAGACTCCAAATGTAATCATTTAACGTTTCTAATTCATAATTTGGAAGAATGTAATTGATGATATTAGCATTAGGATTCCTATGGGTTTTTCCATGTATATTAGCATTGCGCTAACCACTCGCTGCCAAAATGCAGCCTTTGCGATTAGAAAATCTCCTTTTGTCACATTGCAATTTAATTGCACATGAAATTAATTGTTCAGCCCTAATATACATGCAGCTCTATGCTAAAAGTGTATTTTCAAAGAGGTAATGATGGATTTCTTTGTAAAAGTTGTTCATCTTTCCAACAGAAAAATTTGCCTGGACCAACGTAACGTGATAACAACGTAACGTGATTACGAAACTTCCGTAAGGTTCATGTTCAGCCAATCAACTACTTTGACATCATCAGCAGTCGAAGGATCCCGAGCCGATCTTGCACCCGAGCAGATCCTGTAACGACACCGGGTGGAAAGGTTTCCATCCCAGAGCTCCACAAGCCGGCAGCCCACGCAGCAGACAGAAGCCGCGATCAGACAGAGATGCGCCGAGCTGCGGGGAGGGGAGAACCGGGTGGAAAACAGAGGTCTCCCGAGAGCTTCACAAGCCGATAGTCGGAACCCAGCTCCACCAACATGTTATATTTCAACCCAATTTGGTATTTTTAACATGGGAGTCAATGAGGATTTGCTCGCTTCTGACACCAACCCCCAGCAGATGAGGGTGGAACTGCAATTTATTTCACTTCCGCATTGGACTTAATTTCTGTCCCGCATTGTGGGGGCTTGGGTATGACTCAGGTAGTGGATTCATTTAAAGTAAGAGGTTTATTTGCATTTGTAAACACAGATAACACAGATGCATCTCTTTATCTACTTCAGGTGTGTGTGTGTGTGTGTGTGTGTGTGTGTGTGTGTGTGTTAGAGAGAATTTAGTTCAAATGAACTACTTCATGAGCCACAGAAAGCATTTAGAAATAATTATCATAACTAACTTTTGGAACATTTCTCAATATGTGTACTCACGTCCTTGTGAAACGTCTTCAACGATGGCCCAAGGACTGTTCCAATCCTAAGTACGCATCATAGCAAGTGTTCTTGTTTTCTTGCTCCACCCATTTTATCTTTATCATCCTTTTGCAGACTATGGACAGCAGTTTCCCATAATGCACTGCGTCACTGCATCATTCATTATATTCCAAATGTCAGAGGATAAATCTAAAAACTGTAGTTTTATTTCAGAAATACTAATAAAGAAATAAGAAGTTGTCTTTTATTGTAAATAATTGTGTGTAACCTGTATTGTATAGTTATACTGTGTTGTATAATTTGCTGTGTATTCGAGTTTTCCTGTTTATGATACCCCAAAAGGCTAATTAGCTAAGCCACGATCCAAAAAAAAAGCTGAGTAACTCTGTTTTGATGAAAAAATATGTTTTTAAAATTATTTTTTGATCAAAAGTGGACTTGATATAATACAAATATGTTATTTTGTTATTTAAGGAACAAACTACAATTTTACTTTTTTGCCAGGTCGTTGAACCGTAGCTAGAAACAAGCAGCGCCTGTTGACATGACGCAGTACGGTTTTGTTCCAAATGCTGTCCTCTTTCTCCTCGTCCTCCCGTACTCGGTAGAACGGACTTTCTGGTGTCCTTGCCAAGAACACACTTGGGACTGTATTGGACAAGTGATGAGCAGTGCCTGGTTTTCTTCACACATGCCGCTTAGAATTAAGGCCAAAAGTTTCATCTCTGTCTCATCCAACCAGGGAATCTTAGTTCTCACCGTCTCTGAGTCCTTCAGGTGTTTTTTTTCAGCAAATGTCATGCAGGCTTTCATGTATCTTGCACTGAGGAGAGGCTTCCAACGGGTCACTCTGCCATAAAGCCCTGACTGGTGGAGAGCTGCAGTGATGGTTGACTTTCTACAACTTTCACCCATCTCCTGACTGCATCTCTGGAGCTCTGCCACAGTGATCTTTGGGTTCTTCTTTACCTCTCTCACCAAGGCTCTTCTTTCGCTCAGTTTGGCCAGACGGCCTGCACTAGGAAGGGTTCTGCTCAGCCCAAACATCTTCAATTTAAGGGTTATGGAGGCCTCGCTCTTAGGAACCTTAAGTGAAGCAGAGATGTCGGCTGACCACATGTTGCATTGCACCTCCTCAATGAACTATTGCTGGGTTTCACTCACGTGACGCCTGCAGCTGCGAGAAACTCAAATGGGGGCAGTAAGTGTTTTGCTACACGACAAAACAGAGATTACACACCTCGATGGATGAAAGCAATGTTATTAATGAGATGGCACAAATGCTGTATCGTGAACAAAAACATCTTCTAGGTTCTGACCCATATAGTTTTAAAAGTCACACTTCTCATACACTGTGGAGGATTTACCCAGCACTGAAGCGATCGGCATCAAGCTAGCTTGTGCTGCCATCCTCATATTACACTGCAAACCAAACAAAAGCCTTTTACAAGCCTGGAAGCCTACAGCTGTACTATTTCAGGCTGGTTAACCTTTTATTGATCCAGAGAGGCGTTAAATGTCCATTGTCTTGTTTTTGCTTGGTAGTGAGTTGTATTTAAATTAATTAGCTCATGACAATAATGCTATTGCTAATGCTAACAATGCGCATGTCATGTTGGGCTGTAGCTTTTTGACCCACAACATGCAGAATCACACACTGAGACAAAGGTAAGTAAAAAGGGTTTATTTTTATGTACAATGGGAGGTGAAGATGATGGTCTGAGTTCGAGTGGTTCTGGTAGAGTTCTAGAGCAGAGACAGGAGTGAGTATTTGCAGATTGACCATGTAAGGAATATGAGTTAGTAGCTTACGGTTTCCTGGTTGTTGGTAAAGGCATAGAGAGGGTGGAGACAAGTCATGGCTGGCTGAGCTGGTCAAGTGAGTGTCAGGTGTGGCTGGGAGCTGAGCACCAGAGTTCGGGTTGTCCAGGTTGGCAGGTGGGGGTAGGAGAGCAGGCGGTCAGGGGCGAGCGACGGGCTGGCAGGCAGGGTTCAAATCCGGTGAGTCTATTTTCAGATGTTGGAGGTTTGGTTGGAGGAGGAGAAGCTCCTGAGGAGGTCGGAGGAAAACAGAACAGATGAGTTCAGGAAGGCGAGGTACACAAGAGATAAAATAAATTTCAAACACTGGCAAGGTACTGGCACGAGTATTACCCAATGTTGAGTATCATCCGGCACTGATGAGTTGTCCCGACGCTCCTTAAATCCCCTGACCACTGATGAGCAGATAGGCAGCAGCTGCTCTCCAGGCACACCCACCTGCACACAGAAAAAACTCAGCACAACACACAGTTAGACTCAGCACAAACCATGACAGCGTATGTGCTAGGATCTACTTGTAGGCTAAGTTTTTATGCCTTTTTAAATCCAAAATTCTTGTTGGTTTGTATTATTTTATAAGGTATAAATGCTACATTACAACACTAAGCTAACTGCTAACAACATTAGCACTCTATCTCCAATCTGCAAACAGGGACATGCCAATATTTGTTGGTAAGTCTGCGTTGTACGTTAAGGGGGTGAATCTGGAGATTTTTTAAATCGTTCCATTTAATTTGTTGGCATCTCGTCGTACCAGGAGGGTGTTGTAAAATACATAAGTTTTGGGGATTTGTTGTAGAGCTTCTATGCTGCTAATAAAGGGTAGGTCTGCTAAATGAATGGGATGACATAGTTCTGTCTATCCACGTGGTACCTTTTCGCCTCTGTACCCAGTTAGCCAGATTTTTAATCTGAGCGGCGATATAATATCTCTGTAGGTAAGGTAAGGCCAATCCGCCTTTTGATCTATGCTTGGATAAGGTTTTGTAGGCTATTCTGGGAGCTGAATTTTTCCATATAAACGTGATGATATGTTTGTTCAAAGCTTTGAAAAAAGTGTCCATCAAATAGCAAGAGAGAGATTGAAACAAATAATTGAACCTGGGGTGTATGTTCATTTTGATTACATTGATCCGCCCCAGAAACGAGATGGGGAGCATATTTCAGTGGTTTAGATCCTCCTTAATTTTTTGTATCAATGGATCATAATTCAGTTCAGTCAAATCTTTAAGTTTTGGCGACACCATGATTCCTAACGCCATCTTGGGCCCAGAAGAAGGGCACTAGAGTTTTTAAGGCTTCCGTAATAGGAGAGTTTATTATTGCTATTTTTGATTAGGATAAATTGATTTTGTAACCTGATATTGCTCCAAATTCTGTTAGCAGTTCTAGGATTTTGGGGATCGTGTTTTCAGGGCTGGACAGGCACAGAATTATATCATCCGCATATAATTAAATTTTATTTTCGACTTTTTCGATATTTATACCAGTGATCCCTTTATTATTTCTTACCGTTTCTGCAAATGGTTCTATAGCTAGATTGAATAAAAATGGAGAAAGTGGGCAACCTTGCCGACATCCTCTAAATAAACCTAATTTGCCGGCGAGGGAGCCGTTTATGCAGATTTGGGCTTGTGGGCAATTATATATATTTTTAATCCATCCGATAAATTTTTCTCCAAGGTAAAATTTTTCTAGGACTGCAAATAAGTATGACCACTCGACCCTATCAAAAGCTTTTTCCACATCTAGTGACAGGAGCAGAACGGTTTTCTTATGAAGTGTCGAGTAGTCAATTATGTCCAGAAGTCTACGTATATTATCGAATGCATAGCGTCCTTTTACAAAGCCAGTTACATTGGCGTATATATATATATATATATATATATATATATATATATATATATATATATATATATATATATATATAGCCATGCCCTGATGTGGGGGCTGGGGGGTGCGTCGACATGGTCGGGACATAGAAGGGGGTGCTCGGCTAAATAAGTTTGGGAACCACTGGTTTAAACTATTATTTACTGTGAGTGGATGCAAACTAAGAGATGGGTGTCTGGAACTAGGTGTGAATATAGTATTTCAGTCAGTATCATGAGAAAGTTGAATCCTGGATGGAGGAAATTTGGTTTGCAAGTAAGCTACAAGCTGTTATTTATCAAACTGCATACAGACGCTATCTGCACGTCTACGTTACCCATAGAGGCACCCTCTTGACAGATCCGAAAGTCAGAGGGGGTTGGATGACCGCTGGTACCGGAGGGCTGTAGAGTACGGAGGTACCGTCCTCTCAGTCCTAGAGATGTGTCTCGGGTCACGCCAGATGGATGGAAACCACGCGTCTTGGTCTCTTAAGGAGTCTAAACAAATCAGCTTTTCTGCAGGAAAAGACTATCTTGTTGTTCGGCTTCGCAGGTGCAAAAGCTTAAGGTTTTGACTATGTCAAAATCCTTCTGGTGAAAGAGGCTTGCTCAGACGGCCGTTCTGAGCTTCTCTCTCTCTGGCTGTCTGACTTACTGAGACTGAGAGTGAAGCTCTTTTAAGGCCTGGTGTTATCTCAGAAATTGCCAAGCATCTCAGAACACAGTCTCTGATTCTGAGCTCTGAAATGTGGGACAAGGTTACTTATGTGTCATGTCTTTATTGTAGGGTTTTACTACATACTAGAATCAACACTGTTTTCTATTAATTGTTAATTCTGAGCATGACCAAGCAGATTAATCTATGAAGCTTATATCATAAATAAATATCCAGGACACTTACCGTACATAATCGATTTAAGTTCATACACCAACCTGTTTGGTCTATTTTTAATCCAAAGATTAATGTTTAATTTAAGATATTTAAATGTAATAGCAAAAGTTTATTTTGAATCAGAAGTTAGGAATCTTTGCTTTTTCAGTAACCATAAATAATTATACCTTTCTGTGTTCCATTTCATAGAATGAGGCAAGTTTAAAAATGAAGAATTTATTACTAACAATTTTAAACTTCACTATTTGAATAACAATTAGAAATGACAATTCATGGATGACAATTTAATGACAAATTTTAACAGCTTTGATATTAAACTTGTTTTAAAAGGCAAACATGTGGCTGAATGAAAGCTAAATGAAAACACGAGTTTGGATGCGTAAATGAATTTCTCAGAAGGTTTCTTTCAGAGAGAGGAACGCGTTCTGGGCTGGAAATGATGGCTTTGTAGCTAACTGTTGTTTACTTAGAGAAAACAGCATCAGACACAATCTGTGTGCTACCTCACCCAGCAAGGATGACCCTTCGTGAGGATCCGGAGGTCAAGGGAGGATGGTTTCTTCCTCCAAGTACTCGGTCCGGTAGAGGAGACTCGACGAAACGACTCTGGTCCGAAGATGTCGTCGGGTACACAGTGTCGAGCGTCTGGCTTACTCTGAAGGAGTTTCGTCTAACTTAACTCAAAAATCAATAACTCTGAGGAGTTTTGCGTCAGCTGGCTACAGTTACGTTTATTCATAGCTATTCTCATCGGCGTGATAGAACAGCAGGTGGAGGCTTCGGGGACGGCCGTTCCCTGATCCTCTGATGGTGGTTGGTTCACGAACTGGGGTCAAAGCTGCTGGAAGTTAGTTTTACAAAGTCCTCAGAACACGCCCACTCTCAGAGCAAGAAAACTTTGGTCATGAGTCAAGACACGTGATGGAAGTTACCCTTACCCCTGCTTTCCACAGGAGCCATCAGCAGCACGTCATAGCTGCTGATAGGAACTGCTGTGGTCAACAGAACCTTTTCCACTGGAGCCGTCAGCAGCGCGAGTCGGCCGCGTCTCAGGAGCAGCATATCGCGGCCTTTACGCGCCGGTTCTATTTTCTACGCGCGACGCCTCTGAAACGGGTCAAGTTCGACATTTTGGGGGAAGGAAAGACAGGAAATCGGATGCGGAAATGGAGAGAAGCTCCCAAGATTTTCAGAATAAAGAAACGTACTGCCTTCCGGTTGTTTTACTAAATGTGCGGCCCCGTGAGAAGTTATCACCTACCTAGCGGTCTTCTTTGTTTTTCAGGTCCGTATTGGCGATTATAAAACGGACAGAACATAAAACACAAACCTTTTGGAGCCATGTTATTGTTTTCTCTTGCTTGTTGTTGTGTTTACTGACGAAGTCACTCGTGTGACTTCGTGCTCGGTCGGTGACAGCTGCTCCCCTGCTACTTCACGTCTCGTGGGAAGGGCCAAGCTGCAGTTTACGCGAGCAAGACGTGCTGCTGCAGTAACGTGCTGCTGACGGCTCCAGTGGAAAGAAGGGGTTACTCTGGATCAGTTCTGTGTTGGATGGATAAGTGGAAGCTGACTTTCACGATTACTGAACACATATTACTGATCATCACCCATTATCATAATCACACCCAAAGCATAATAATTCATTTCAGTAATTAAAATACATTTATACTGAACCAAGTGATTATTTATGATGATTATCATAAACAGTAACAAAGTCAAAGAGTTTATTAATATCATTATTTAGATTATTATCGTGAACTTGAAGGTCCTTCTTCTGGGACAGAACGGCAGCAGATAAGGGGTGATATTCAGCAGACATCAGGGCTCCTGGGTTAATCTGTGGAACTAAAGTTACAGTCTGACCCAGCTGGGAAAGTATGACCTTTGTCACAATTAGAAGACCTTCATGATGCTACATTATCTTAGCCTTACTCTGTCTGCAAGTGTGATGACCTAATCCAGGAAACATACTTAGTATTATTGAAACAGATTCATGAAACATTTCATCATTTATAATCATACATGGCAATATTTAGTGATTATTAATTATAAAATCTTCAATCTTCAATGATTATTTTGAAATATAAAATTATTACTTTTAATTATGAAATCTTATGTTTTTGTTTATGTATTTAGCAGACGCTTTTGTCCAAAGCGACTTACAAGTGATAATCGTCATATTGCCCTTGAGGCTAATAACAACAATAACAACAACAACATTGACATCAGTCATAGAGAGTAGGGAACAAGGAGTGGACAGTAGAGAGGGGGGACGGGTGCAGGCAAGGTGCTAGTAAAGAAGATGCTCTCTGAAGAGCAGGGTCTTCAGGAGTTTCTTGAAAATTGAAAAGGAAGTTCTGGTAGTGCTTGGAAGGTCATTCCACATTTGTGGAACGATGCATGAGAAGAGTCTGGATTGTCCTGAACGTGGTGTAGGCACTGCTAGCCAACGATCCTGTGATGACCGGAGCGGCCGGGCCGAGACGCAAGCCTTTGCAAGAGGATTCAGGTAGATGGGAGCCGTACCATCTCGGACTTTGTATGCCACTGTTAGCAATTTGAATTTGATGCGTGCTGCTAGCGGTAGCCAGTGGAGCTCAATGAACAGAGGGGTGATTGAAGACCAGACACGCCACTGCGTTCTGGACCATTTGAAGAGGTCTCACAGTACAGGCTGGAAGACCAGTTAGAAGGACATTGCAGTAATTGAGGCGGGAGATGACAGTAGATTGCACCAGGAGCTGGGTGGCATGTTGTTAGGTATGGTCTGATCTTTCGTATGTTATACAGCGCAAAGCGGCATGAAGGGGCAACAGAGGCAACATGATCTTTAAAGGTCAGGTGTTCATCAATCACAACACCCAGATTTCGAACTGCCTTTGAAGGAGCCAGAGATAGGAAGTCATTTTGGATTGAGATATTGTAATGTATGGATGGTTTTGCTGGGATGACAAGTAGTTCAGTTTTAGAGAGGTTGAGTTGGAGATGGTGGGATTTCATCCATTTTGATATGTCAGAGAGACAGTTTGATATTTGTGCAGAGACAGTGTGGTCAGCCTGTGGAAATGACAGATAGAGCTGGGTGTCGTCTGCATAGCAGTGGTAGGAGAAGCCATGTGATTGAATGCTCTCACCCAGTGAGGTGGTGTATATGGCAAAGAGAAGAGGTCCTAGTACAGAGCCCTGGGGGACTCCTGTGGCAAGATGGTGCACGGTAGAGGATTGTCCAAGCCAAGATACACTGAATGATCATCCTGTGAGGTACGATTCAAACCAGGCGTGTGCTTTCTCTGTGATGCCCATGGTAGAGAGTGCGGACAAAAGGAAGCCATGGCTGACAGTGTCAAATGCAGCCGATAAGTCGAGCAGGATAAGCACTGAGGATTTGCCTGTCGCTCTAGCTTCTTTTAAGGATTCAGTCACTGCGAACAGAGCAGTTTCAGTGGAGTGGCCCTTTTTGAACCCAGATTGGTAAGGGTCAAGCAGACAGTTTTGTGAGAGGTATTCTGTGATCTGCTTGAAAGCCACTCTTTCAATGATTTTGGACAGAAAAGGGAGGAGAGAGATAGGTCGGTAGTTCTCCACATGATTTGGAGGAAGAGATGGGTTTTTTTTAGCAGCGGTTTAACCTGAGCATGCTTGAGAGAGATGGGAAATGTACCGGATGTCAGTGATGCGTTGATCACATGTGTGACTGCTTCGGCTACTGTAAGAGCAATAGCTTGGAGCAGCTTAGTCGGAATGGGGTCAAGTGGGCATGTAGTAGGGCAGCTGCATGTGAGATGCTTGGACACACAGTTCTCAGTGACAGGGGAAAAAGAGGAAAATGAAGCAGTAGGGCCTGAGATGGTTGGGCTTGTAGGAGTTTGTGGTAGTGAATATTCAGGAGTGGCCAGTTGAGTAAACTGTTTCCTTATAGCTGCCACTTTGTCAGTGAAGAATGAGGCAAAGGTGTCAGCTGATAAATTGATGGTAGGAGGTGGAGATGGAGGGGTGAGCAGAGTTTTGAATGTTGAAAATAGTTTCTGAGAGTCAGTAGAGCTGAGAATTTTGTCAGTGTAGAAATCTTCTGGGAATAAAAGTTTATCTAATGGAGTTCTGTGCAGAACCTTGGGGAAAAGAATGCTATTTGTTCATCTTTCGTAATCTGTTGAAGCTTCAGTTCAGCTGATGAAGTCATCTGCGTGCAGACATTCCATGTTCTGTCAGGGTAAAATACAGCAGAACGTGTGTAGCCAGGGTTATTTGCTCTGGCTGTGCATATGAACTGTGGGACCTCAAAATCAGTCCATTTGGTGACGTTACAAGGGGCAGGAGCATAAAAAAAGCGTCTGCTCTCTTTGAATGCCAGGTGGGGAAAAAAAATCTACAGAACGGATCCTCTTCTGCCATCTTCTTTCAGCACATTATTTTTTTTAAATTAAGTCCTTTGCGGCGCACTACATTCAGGACTTGAAAAAATGTTTGCCTTAGTCCCGATTAGAGTGACTGTAATAACCGTAGATCGCATAGAATTTCGGCATTTTAACACCCAGTCACCAAAGTAAATAGAGTTTTGTGCAGCGCTGGCTACTTCCAAATCCCCATCTGCATTTGGTTACGTAGATGCAACCTCATGTGAAACCCAGAAATAAAATGAGGGGGAAGTGTGCTTTTGTACATGTGGCCCCTGTTCTGTGGACTGCTTTACCTCTTACCATCCACCAGTTAGCTTTTATTGCGGTGTAGGTGTTGGTAAATATAGTGCTATAAGAGCTTAATATATTACCTCTACTTATGACCAATAAGCTGAAATACTCTACATAAATATAGAATATCAACCTGCTTGGTCTTTGGATGTTTAATCAGAAGATTCTAGGATTCTTTGTTTATTCAGGGATTGTAGAACACTTCGTCTTGATTCAAGGAAAGAGTCAGGTCTATAAAAGTAAGCATTTATTTTCCAAACAATTAAAACATGACAAGTTAACTAATATTTACTGTGATGGATGGATCTAGGTGGATGAAATGTGATGTATGGTGCCTATGTGTGAATATGATGTTATCAGAACTTTCGTATCAAGAAGAGCTGAGTTCTGGGTGTAAAAGGGAAATAATTTGGTTTGTGTTAAGCTATGAGGTTGATTCTTATCAAAAAGGCATCAGACGCTATCTGCGTGTCAACCTCACCCTTTGGAAGACCCTCTTCATGGATCCGAATGTCAGAGAGGTCGGATGACCTCTGGAACTGAGGTTGTAGAATACCGTAGCACCGACCCGTCAGTCCAGAGATGTTTTTCCGGGTCACAACAGATGGATGGAACCCTGGCGTCTAGACGAACTCTAAAGGAGTTGGAACAGTATAAGCTTTGTTCTGCAGGAACCGTTTGCTTTGTCAGCAGTAGGCAGCTTTTAGCAGGGTTTTGGCAGCTTGCCAAAACGCTCACGGTTAAAGAGGCTTCGCTCCGGACGTCCGTTCCGAAGCTCTTTCTCTAGAACTGAATACTGAGTGATGGAAAGCTGGAATGTGACTACAACTGCTGAATCACTGTAAGTGATTCTGTTTTAATATTCTCGTATTATGATTTACTTGGCCAATCCAAGCGTGCCATGTTAAGGGATATTACCACGACAACCTCAGAAAACACGCCTTCTTGAGATACCGGATGCTCTGATCTGGGGTAAAGAAATTTCTATGTGTCATGAGTTTAATTTAACTTTAATTTGTCCTTGTGTCTGGTGCAGGTGACGATTGCCTTGTCATATCAAACATTACTGATTACCATATATATAAATCAATGTAATACTTCATTTCAATAATTCAAGCACAGATCAGTCAACCTTATTGATTTAAGCACAGATTAATCAAACCATTATTATTATTATTATTATACGAATGATTAACTCATAAAAGCTGAAAACAGCCACTCTTATAACAGTCCAGTCCAGCCTAGATAACCAGGCAGGCTTGGCACAGAAGGGCCTTGAGAAGGGAACAGTATTCAATTCAATTCAATTCAAATTCAAACATACTTTATTGTTGACACTTTGTTATCATGTGTTCCGAGCTGTAGAGAGGCCCCAGCTGATGGACTAGCAGGACCTGGCAGATTAAAGGCAACACATGCAGAGTCTTGTCTCCATGTCCACCAGATACTGAAGGGGTCAAACAGTACATGAAAACTGACCATTACTGGACATTACAGCCACCTTCAAGTCACAACTGAAAATGTACTTTTATGACCTGGCTTTTACATCTTGACTTGTTTCTTGTTACACTATTACTTTCAGTTGTTTTTATTCATATTTTTATTAGGTTTTATCCATTTTTTGAATAGCTATTTTGGCAGTTTTACTTCTCTTACCCTTAGCTGTTTTTTTGACATGATGTATGTTTTAGTACTTCTTTCTGTAATGTATGTAAGGCACTTTGGTCGGCCCCTTGCTGTGCTGAAATACGCTTGACAAATAAAGTGGTATGGTATGGTATTTTTATCTACAAGGAAACTCCACATAGTTGAATGCATATTAATAGTAATAAAACATTGTCTTTGAAATCTTAACACATTAAATCATTTTTATTCCTGTTGACATCATGGTAACACATAAACTCTCCTTGTACTGGTCACACACACTTCACAATTTCTGTCTTTGTGGATCTGCTGGTGTCATTTCATAGATCTTTGCTGAGTAAAACTTTTCCCACATGACTTACGGGAAAATGGCCTTATTCCAGTATGGACAAGTTGGTGTAGTTTCAGATGCCTTAACCGAGTAAAACATTTCCCACAGGTCTCACAGGGAAATGGTTTTTCTCCAGTATGAATCTGTTGGTGTCGATTCAGATTCCCTAAACGAGTAAAACATTTCCCACAGGTCTCACAGGGAAATGGTTTTTCTCCAGTATGAATCTGTTGGTGTTGTTTCAGAGTCCCTAAATGAGTAAAACATTTCCCACAGGTCTCACAGGGAAATGGTTTTTCTCCAGTGTGAATCTGTTGGTGTCGATTCAGATTCCCTAAACGAGTAAAACATTTCCCACAGGTCTCACAGGGAAATGGTTTTTCTCCAGTATGAATCTGTTGGTGTTGTTTCAGATTCCCTAAACGAGTAAAACATTTCCCACAGGTCTCACAGGGAAATGGTTTTTCTCCAGTGTGAATCTGTTGGTGTCGATTCAGATTCCCTTTCTCAGAAAAACGTTTCCCACAGGTCTCACAGGGAAACGGTTTTTCTCCAGTATGGACACGTTGGAGACATTTTAACTTGTAAGAAGTACCAAAGCTCTTGTCACACTGGTCACAGCGGTACAGCTTCTTCTTCTTCTTGGTAGGTTGATCCAAAGGTCCCACACTCACTTCCTTCTCATCTTTCTCCTCGTCTTTGCAGGTCGGATTCTGTGAAATAAAAAGTGAAAACAAAAAAACTTTTCATTCAGTTACTTTCAGAAATGTTCTTTCACAAACTCATGTTTACATTTGTAAAAATATAAGCAGATTAACTCAGTTCCATCAGAAAACATTGATGCTACAGTTCCATAATATAATAGATCAGAGTATTGCCTACATTTTTGTTAGACGTTTCCAAAACAACCTCTCTACCAGCATGTATGTTAAATGTCTAGTTAAATCAACTAACCTCTTCCAGTGATGACATTTTCCTGTTGGACACTTGACTCCTCTCCTATATCCAGGAATCACCTCTGGAATATTCAAAAGAACACAACTTACATTAGGAGGTGCTATAACTAGAAATGAGAAGATTTAGTCTCGTTATCTATTTCTGGTAAAGATATGATGGATAGTGATGCACACAGTACTTTTATAATAAGTTAAATCCACTGATTTCTATTTAAAGTTCTCACTGGCAGCCCAAATCACCTTTAACATGATTCTGCTGCAGACATTTCATAGAAAAGATCTGGATGACAAAACTGCTAAAATCCAAAGTTTACAAAAGTTCAAAGTTTAAAAAGTCGCCTCTGAGGGGCAGAGGAGTATAAAAACATGCTAAAAGGAGTAAAAAGCAGATTTTTCTTACCTCTTCTATGAAGACACTTTAGAGATATCCTCTGCAGGATCAAAATGTCCTCTCATATGTCAGAAGAATCGGAAAGGTTTTAAAAGGTGCAGCATTATTTCCATGGTAACCAATGGTAGCAGCAGTTTAAACATTCTACAATCAATTTTAAAATGAAACAAATCTACTGTATAATGCCTTTATAACTTTTCAGTTTTGGCTTTGTTTCAGACATTTGGTGTACATCCCTGGTTAGATTTGAATAAACACCAAATATTTTGTTTTAAATAATTAAATGTTAAACCATAACATTTTTAATTGTTTAAAACTATGTGTAACCAATTACTGATCAGATTACAATTCAGGGTTGACTCTTACAGTTAACTAGGAGTTAAAGCAAGTTTTTATTTTTTATTTTCTTTTAGCTTGATCAGCTCTGGCAGCCATCTTGGACTGAGTTGAATCCAAGGCTGTTTCTCAATCGGGAGCCTAAGTCCACATCACGGGTCCCCGTAAGAACAACAAAATGAATGCAAGTCAACAGGGCTAAAAACGCTATTTTCTAATCGCTTTGCCTTACACCCATGTTGTACTGCAATTTAAATGAAAAGTAATGATGGGTGTTTCGACCACGCCAGTCACGTACTTTGAGATTTATTAGCTTGTAAAAGTTCGTAATTAGCATGACTACAAACTAGAAATCGGCACGTTGCATATATGACATCACCACATAATCTCCTCTCTCCAAAGTAGCTGCTACTTACCAAATGACCAGATTTATGGTGGTTCTTTTCTCCTGTGGGAAGTTTGCTGAACTTAAAGCCCTTCTGCCTCAGTTTTCTCCATGTCTGGTTCGATGACGCCACATTCGTGAAGCGCATTTGTAGTCATGTACTCATGTTCAAACAAAACTAAAATAGTGTGTGTGTGTGCGCACACACACACTCACACACACACACACACACACACACACACACACACACACACACACACACACACACACACACACACACACACACACACACACACACACACACACACACGCACACACACACACACACACACACAAATGCACACACAGACTAATTTATGATGTAAATAAATCACCAGCATTGTGGATTTAAATTTCCATAAATAGCTTGAGAAATTGTGTTTTATTCTGTTTAATCTCTCTTTCATGTTCTGTCTCCAGTAGAAGAACGTTGCTTTGATCCAGTAGTGCTACATAACAGAGGTGGTGCTGATGTGTGGTCCTGATATCTGAAGGCAGCCTGGGCGGACAGGCAGGCCCTTAAGTCCAGGTCTAAGTCAAGCGCTCTTTCTCCAGTTAGTGCAGCTCTCATCATTGCTTACACAGCTTGTTGGCCAGCCTGAACTCTTTACTCCAAGTCTTTGCTCTAACAGGCTGCAGCTTATCTTTAAAGCTGTGGAATGCTATTGAACCTTCTGCTGAAGTCTGAGTAATATCAATGTGAAAACAAAAAAACTCTTTCTGCCTTAAGGGTCAAAAAGTCACATCAGTTACTTGAATGCTACAAAATAAAGAAAACTTACAAAATACAGGAGTTCTTGAAGTATTTTAAAATTTGTTATGCATATAAATTGATCTTTTCAATGAGTATTCTTACTTTCTTATCTGTTGCATCATTATTTTTATCAGCTAGATGTCTGTGTTAACTGAAGGGAATTGCTTTTATCCTGATTTTCTTGATTATTTCTGATTGAGCTGGTATGTATTTACTGTCTGCTTAAATCCAGCCAAGCATTACTGTTCTGATTGAGATTTTTTCTTTATCCATTGCAACATTTAACAGTTTAAACTGAGTTTGCTCACACCGGAGATCCGGGGTCAGGTCACGGGGGCAGCTGCCTAACCCCAGCCAGTTTGGCCAGCTCCTCTAGGGGAATCCCAAGGTGTTCCCTGGCCAGCCAAGACGCAGCATGTTCTGGGTCTTCTGTTTTGTCTCCTTCTGGTTGGACATGCCCAGAAAACCTCACCAGGGAGGCGTCCAGGAGGCATCCTAACCAGACGCAGGAGCAGCAGGCCTACTCTGAGCCTCTCCCAGATGACTGATCTTTTCACCCTATCTCTAAGGGAGAGCCCAGCTACCATGCAGAGAAAACTAATTTCTGCTGCTTGTATTTGCGATCTCGTTTTTTCGGTCATTACTCACAGCTCGTGACCATAGGTGAAGGTTGGAACGTAGATCGACCGGTAAATCAAAAACTTTGCCTTCCAGCTCAGCTGTCTTCACCATGACAGATCGGTACAACGCCCTCATCACTGCAGATGCAGCACCAATCCACCTATTGATTTCACGCTCCATGTTGAGTTCTAAAATATATTCAGACTCATAACAGAAAATAGGTAACAAAACAATAGCAGAAAATGGACAGTCAACCTAACTGACGTTAGGCTTTAGTTTTTGGCCAAAATAAAGAGGCATGTCAGAGTAAGTTGAAAGTGTGCATTTGGTTATTGAGGCTTGAGTGAAATCATCTGTCTGCAGTGAGTTTGTTCTTCTGCCTGCATGTTTGTCTGTTTGCTTCATCATGTAGCAACTACATCCTCATCTGAAGTCACATCTGTGCAGAAACAGAGTTAGTAACAAGCACCAAAGCTTTCACAGAGAACACAACCACACCAAAGCTTGCATTTTTGTTTATATGAGCACAAAATGATGATTTAATTGTCTAAATGTGTGTGCTGCTGGCTGGAACTCTCTGATCAGACAGCGACGATTGAAAGTAAATTATGAGGAAACCCAAGACCCACCAAAGCATGTGACTGGAGATTTAAAGCCGAGTGAACACCATGAAAGAGAGGACACATTTTTAACCGGATGTTTATGGTGCTGAATGGACGCAGTTGTCGTAAACAATGTAAGGATAGGGGTTCCAGTTTTTGACCTGCACAGGAGGAGGTTGTTTACCTGCAACTGGCAGAGGAAAGATGCTCAGCGTGCTGGGACTTGGCCTGCCTCTGGATTCATGCTGTTCTCTCAATGTAAATCAGTGAACAGTAAAGGTCAGTGAAAATGTTTAAACATCTGTGTTGGTTTTTCCTGGTAAACATGTCATTCCTGAACACCAGCTGTTAAACAGAATAAAGCTGTGATAGCAATAAGCATTATCGAGGTGGCTTTTGTTAATTATTTAGATTTGTTTTTGCAGTGATACGTCCTTCAACTGATAAAGAATCAGGTGTTTATTTTAACTTCATTAATATTGTGTTGGTTATGTCTGGCTCAGATGATGTTCTTATAACGTTCTTATTTCAGTGCTGATTGCTCTGTGGATTGTTTCATTTCAGTGAGATATGTGAAAATTAGCCCAAAAATTGTGAAATAACACACTTTTTTATTTATTATTATTTTCAGAATATGAATTTGTTTATTTCATATAATATTTCATATTATTCCCAAAGTGTAGACACTCTGTGGTGGCCATTTCAGTAAAATTGCATAAATCTGTTAGTTATAAATTTCTTTTAGAATTTCTTATCATTCCTTTTATAATAAGTTAAGTTTGCAATTTAAATGTGCTAATTTTAAAATTTTTTGGTAAATTGATGCAGTTGTGAACTTTTTGGACACGCCTTTGTCATTAAGCTGATTAGTAGCACATGGGGAGGCGTGTGGAAAATGTTTGTTTGCCAAGTGTCAGGGAAGATGGGAGGATTTGGTTAAATTATTTTTGACCATATTTTAGACCTGATAATTTAATTTAAGGTTAATTTTCATTGGATGAAAAGTAGAACATTTTGAAAGAATTTTTAACTATTTTTTTGGAAGAATAAATCATTTATAAAATTTGCAAGAAATCAAGTCTAAAAGTGTGTGCTTAAAGGAAATCACCCGTTCTCACCAACGGCCTTTAGTTGGAAATCATTTTTTGGAAGTTTAAACGCCATGACACTTAAGTCAAAAAATCATTTGAAGTTGCTGGATGTCATCTTGGAAGATAGAAAAAGTTGGAAGATTGGAAGGACTTTGATGGCTTGATCTCCACAGAATGGACTGGAAGAGGATGATGCACAAAGTCTGTGAGTAAATGAGCAGAGCTGAAGCATTTGTGCTGGACTATGAACTTTTGAACCTGATGAAAGAAACTTTCTCAGAAATGGATGTTCAAGAGGACGAAATTCAAAATGAACAAGAGCTTTTTAATTTAATTGAAAGACGCAGAGCAAAACTTGGAGTTCTGACAAGAAAAAGAAATGACACATGCTCTCATTGATGCTGGAGAATCAAAAACCTCCAGAGATGAACATATGAAAACATTTAACAATTATTTGGGAGAGTTTATGGATTTACAAAATGCTGTTCAAAGGCTGCTGAACGATGATGAAAAAGAAACTGATCATGGGGATTGGTTTGAACCTAAACTGATCAGTTTTAAAGAATTTATTGAGGAAATTGATGCTTGGATGGATTCAGAGCCGGATCTGCAGCCAGGGGCATCTCCTGCTATTGACATTGGACCGGAGGACAGTGTCTCACAAATTGCGACCAGCAAGCGTTCTGAGAAGCTGGATTCTAGTGCAGCAAAACCATGCAGCAAGAACTCCAATATAGCACCCAGTGTTGTTAGTAAAGCTTCTAGTGCAAGGAGTAAAAGCTCCCGTGCAGCTTCGATGGCGCTAATGGAAGTGGAGCTGGAAAGAGCCGCTCTGAAGGCAGAGGCGGAGGCATTGAAAGAAAAACATGCGCTTGAACAAGAAGAAGTTCAGTTAAAAGCACGTAAAGAAGTGCTGACTTTAAGAACCAAGTTGTGCACCGCTGATGCAAGAATGCAAATGTATTCCTCTTTACAGGATCAGCAGAGCCAGGATTCCAAAGCTAAAGCCGAATCAGAAAGCAAGGGTGCAGCTTGCTCTGAAACATCTACTGAGTTCATACCTGCTGCTGTAGCAGCTCAAAAGGCTCAAAGAACTCGAAAAACACCTTTGGCTCAATCACCTTTGCCAATGCCTCGAGACACCAGCACTTGCCCAAGTTAAACCTGAAGGGGAAAGTCCAAAGCAAAATTCTTCTCAGGCTGATGTTCACTGCAGTGCTTTAACAGACATTATGAAAAAGCAAAATGAGATAACTGAGATGCTTGTAGAAGAGAAAAGAAAAGAGTGCAAA